AGAACTGCTCAGATTTAACACATCACAGCGTGTTTATGGGTCTTAAGAGAGTATCAGTGCATATGTGACAGTTTTATAAAACGTTTTATTAGAGACACTGAGGGTCTGAAAAGTCACAGTATTTTAATGTATTATTGTTTTTGGGACTTTTACAATCTATAGCTAAAGGAGACTGTACCTAAGCCCCTATATTACCAGAACACCTTCATCAGAGACGACACTTGTGAGAAGAAGGATGCACGAGTGATCACATGCAGGGAAGTGAGGGTCACCGATCAACTGAAGAGGAAGAAGCTGGTTTAGGTGAAAGCCTTCTGTTGCTCGGTCAGCACTGTCCAGTTCATCAGGGAGCTCTTCAGGTAAAAGCTGCCGTGATGACACTATCTGTGTCTGAGGTAAAGTCTTCTGAGAGAACTGAAGAATGTGGACTATCTTCCCGTTACAGATGAACTGATCGGAGGTCAAAGGTCATGGTGACTTAATGTTGTGAATGTGATACATCAGGAACGCTGGCTGTCGCCGGTGTGGAGGAATGAGAAAAACTTAACCTATTATTCATTTAAAGTAATTTTTCTGATATTTCATGGACTAAATGGTTAATTGAGAAAATAAGAAAATATTAGTTATTATCACAATCCTGCCTTGTTTTGTCTGTCCCATGTTTTCCATGATCTCATTCCACACAACTAAAATCATCATTCACTGCTTCTACAAGTGTGTAAGTTTACTTTCTTTCTACCTGTGGTCTCAACACCAGCATGTAGCTAAGACCCTTCAGATGTGGGTGACCCTTCTGCATGAGGGGATATAATCCATCCTTGAAAGCTGCTTAATAAGTTTAACTGCCAATCAGTCTTTCATGCGTGTGTGGACGTAATTCAGGGAAATGAATCCTATCAACTCAAGCCCTGCTTTGATGAGATGTTGGAAAGGGTTAGCCTGACGACGTAAACACAATGACCACAACAAATGCCAATGTGTACAACCTTCACAATAAAAACAAGAATATAGATGAGGAAAGAGCTGCAGTGAGAGACTTTTTTTTAAATGTAAATGAAATTTTAATAATATCCTAAACAGCATAAAAAAGGAAATACAAATATGTATTTACAATGTTGTCAATCACGACATGACTTGTTTACATGCTGTCACACGTATAGTCTCATATCCATAATCTGATCAGACATAAGGGAAGCCAGCTATTATTAGATGTTGAGTCTTTGCATTAGCTGGTACAGACAGTGGGACCTGTCTTAAGTAATTACATCAAACGGATCTTTCTCTGAAAAATGTTCAGATGCCCTTTTTTAAGAGACTAGAGTCATAGCACGTGTGTTTACTTTGGTTGTGTAGAATCAGCTCAGGATGCCTCCTCTCATGTGTCCACTGTCGCTCAGCCCGTGCTCAATAAGTTTGATGTCTTCCAAGTCGTCTTTGATGACGCTGATCAAATGACTTAGACCGTCCTGCTGCTGCTTCAAGTGCTGAGAGTGAGAGAAAAGTCAACAGTGGTTCAGTTGATGCCAAACTGTTATAAAGACAGGCATTCAGTCTGAGCATTCAAAAGGTCTGAGCATGTGTTTATAAACCACATAAGAATTGGAGATGAATAGTTACTGGACAAAAAATCTCAGAATGACACAACTTTGGTCATAATTTTAAGATGATTTGGCATTTTAGGAAGTCATTAGGAAATCACTTGTCTTTCCAGAGGAGTCCCAATCAGTTAGGAGTGAGGCAGAAATGACTTCTGAAACTTCAGTCAGAGAACTCAAGTTTACAAATGTTTATTGCAACAGTAGAAAATGTAAGCGTTTGGCGTCTAGGCACCGACTTCATCATTCCCCCAGATATGATTATGTAGACATGATGGGTGTATGATTATAACCCCCTGTCTGAGCCTACAGGTGGATGCTGGGGCTGAAGCTACTGGCAGCAATACTGACGCAGCAGCGGGGGCAAGCAAAGGGAGGGATTGGACATTTTCTCATCTTAAATAGGCCACAAAATAGGCTGGGTGAGTATTATAGAAGATTGTGGAGAGTGAGGAATGTCACATGATGTGTGTCACATGATAGGGGAAGCGCAGCTCGAGTTGGCTGCCTGAACTAGCAATCAAGCATTGCTCCATATATCCCATGAGGAGAGAGAAGTTTTGCAATGCTTAATGAGGAAGGGCTTATTAAAACTTATATTGACATTTTTATTGACTGTGACTGGAATACACGCCAAGTCCTAACAACACCACATGGAAAATGCAACAGTGATTGACCTCTAAGCATACTTAAATTACTCATAGCATAAACTAAAACCAATTTAAACACAAGCATACTGACTGGATGTCAGTCCTGCTCTGTAAATACAGTCCATAGATAAGACTAATGGGACATGGATATAAAAAATAATCTCACTTGTTTGATTTCTCTGAGAAGATCTGCATCAACACTGTAGCGCTCTTCTGATCTCACTGCTCCAAAGTGGTTCTGCATCCGGATCTGGGACATTAATTCATTCAAACGACCCTGGAAGATAAGCAAAACAGAAAAATGACAAATAATAAATACAAGTATAATTCATAACGTTTTTTTTCTCAGGGAATAGTCTGATCTCTAACAGCAGCCAAAACCACAACAGTAATGTCCATTCACAAAATATAGTGACACTTGACTAAATGAGGATTGTGTGACTGCAGTATTATATATTTTATTATAGCCTAAATAATTACAGGACTGTAAAGTGCTTTTTCCAGAATGACTTATTAGTAAGTAGTTATTACTTTACACTAAATTTAAAAAGTGCTTGTTAATTAAAACAACTGTAAATATGACTTTACTTTCCCACCCTGATTTAAAGTGTTGATGACTTGATGCAGAGAGTACTTGAACCTGCTAGAGGTTAGACACACTTGCCTTGAACTGTGTGGGGGCGTTGAGTTCAGACTGAATCGTGTCCAGCTGCACCCTGAGATGCTCCTCATCCACCTGGATAGCGTAACCACTTTTCCTCTGAATCTCCTGTTTAATCAGCACCTGCCATAAAACAGCCAAGGATGAGGAGGAGTCAGACAGTGACACAGCCTTCATTCAAACCCCATGAGGTCAGCATGGTAGTCGACAGAGTTCATTTTACAGTTCTAGGAAAAGGAGAGCCAGTAACAGCAAACACATT